AAGAAGAAGAAGAAAAACAAGAAGAACAAGAAGAACAAGAAGAACAAGAAGAAGAAGAACAAGAAAAACAAGAACAAGAACAAGAAGAACAAGAACAACAAGGAGATACCTCGTCTATTTTGAATCCAAAGACTTCTTCAAAGTACGCGGGTTGGGATATGATGAGTAGGTAAAACGTCCATGAACGACAGAAATTAGCCACCATGATTGCCCAGACAGGTGTAGAGGTGAAGAATTTCAGCCAAGGGGTAGGTATGCTCTGTGAAAAAAACAACAGTATTATCATCATTATCGTCATGGTCACTATCATTCTCTTAATCATCATCATTATATCATCGTCATTATGCTCTTATTCCTTCCCCTCTTCACATTCCCCTTTCTTCTCCTCTTCCTTCTTCTTCTTCTTTCATGATCACCATCATTATCATAAATATCGTCATCATCAACATCATCAATCTTTATCTTTGACGCTACTTGAAACCACCACCACTAACCTTTACTACCAACACAACAAACCTTTGACTTCAGCATAAATTATGACCTTTGACGCCGCCACAAATCGCTGTTAACACCGTCACAACTGACCATTAACACCAACATTGTCCTTTGGCATCATCACAAATTATGACCTTTGACTCCGCCAGAAATGGCCGTTACGACCGTCACAACTGACCGTTAACACCAACACAACTGAATTTTTACTAAAGCAATAATGACCATTGACACAGTCACAACTGAAATTTGGCATCACCACACTAGACCTTTGACTCTTGAAACTGACCTTTAACACCTGAAATTGACCTTTGACACTTCAACTACTAACCTTTGAGATTACAGACGTTGACTCTCCAATGCTATTCTCGATGTAAACACGCTCCTCTTCCGTGATGGTCGGGTGGGTGGACGGTTTCTCGTACGACAGGAACCACCAGGCGGCCGACCAGATAGCTCCGGCAATACCTGAGGAGGATGAAAAGAGAGGAGTTTGAATCCAGGGGGAGGGAGGGAGTGAGGGAGGGAGTGAGGAAGGGATGGAGGGAGGCAGAGGGGGGAGAGAGGGAGAGAAAGGAGTTTGAATCCTAGGGAAGGAGGGGGGAATGAAGGGAGGAAGAGGGGAGAGAGAGAGTGAATGGGGAGGGAGAGAGAAAGAGACAAAGATAGAG